CCGGTCCAGTCGCCGTCCGGAATGGCGCCAACTACGGACGCCAGGTCAGGCCTTACCCGACCTGGGACGTCCGGAGCGTGCACCGCGGCGAGGAACTGTCACTGCCGGCGCCGGTCATTTTGCCGCCTCAGTGAGCTGCAGCCCACCACCCACCTAGTTCCGTGAGGTGGGAGCTTGAGCCAATGGCGGAAACAACGGGTCCCTTTCCCTCCTCCGCGCTAGACAGTAGCTGATTCGTGCACCGGTCGCACCTGGGTAAGGTACCAACCCAAACAAACGTCATTGTGAGTTCGCCAGAGGTTCGGCCGGCCGGGTCCAGTTACCGAGCTAGTGCCGTGCGCCGGGAGCTTTTTTTGGAGCAAGCAATCCTTCCAAACCTCGAAAGTTGACGTCGTCAATGTTTTGACAGCTGTCACTGTACACCTTGTTTTCTCTTTTCGCCTCCACAACTGACAACCATGGCGACGGGCTTGCGAACGACGACGACGCTCCGTCCGCTGGCGTCTGCGCTGCGGCCGGCGCAGTACCTGCCCCGTGTCGCACGACGATACAAGTCTGGCCCGTATGGCTACACCCAGGCCAAGGCACTGGTCTTCTCGAAGGAGGGCGAGCCCCGCGATGTCCTGCAGTACGGACGCGCCAATTGATGCGAAGTCTCGGTACTCGAGCTGACGAGCTGCACAGATTGCACACCCACTCCATCTCCCCGTCGATCCCCTCCTCCGCCGTCCTCCTCCGCGCCCTCGCCGCCCCGATCAACCCCGCCGACATCAACACCGTCCAGGGCACATACGGCTCCAAGCCCCCGTTCACGTCCCTGATCGGCACCCCCGAGCCCGCCGCGATCCCCGGCAACGAGGGCGTCTTCGAGGTCGTCTCCGTGGGGTCCAAGGACCTCGGCCTGCAGCGCGGCGACTGGGTCATCCCCGCGGCGTCCTCCTTCGGCACATGGCGCACCCACGCCGTCGCGGACGCAAAGGATGTGATGAAGGTCTCGAAGGATGGCCTGACGCCCACGCAGGTCGCGACCGTCAGCGTCAACCCTTGCACTGCGTACCGCATCCTCCGCACCTACGGCCCCGGCGAGATCAAGGCGGGCACCAACGGCGGCATGAATGCGCTCGAGCCGGGCCGCGGCGGCTGGTTTATTCAGAACGGAGCCAACAGCGGCGTCGGTCGAGCTGCGATCCAGCTCGGAAAGCTCTGGGGGCTGAGGAGTATCAATGTCGTTAGAGAGCGGGAGACGGAGGCGGAGACGGAGACGCTGAAGAAGGAGCTCAGCGACCTCGGCGCCACGGCCGTGGTCACGGAGAAGGAGTTCCTGGCGAGGGAGTGGAGGGATCAGCTCAAGGAGCTGACGAGGGGCGGTCGCGAGCCCGTCGGTCTGGGACTGAACTGCGTCGGCGGCAAGTCGGCGACGGCCATCGCGAGGAGTCTCGGCGAGAGCGGCACGATGGTGAGCTACGGCGGCATGGCGAAGCAGCCGGTCATGCTCCCCACCGGGCTCCTCATCTTCAAGGACCTTAGGTTTGTGGGATTCTGGCTCAGCAAGTGGAACGAGCGGGATCCTCAGGGACGCAAGTTTGCGATTGAGGATGTCCTGGGCATGATTCGCGAGGGCAGGTTCAAGGACGTGCCTGTGGAGGAGGTGCCGTGGAGCTGGGAGACGGAGGCGGAGAGCCTGAAGGAGGCTGTTCAGGGGGGACTTGGTGGGTTCAGGAAGGGTAAGGGTGTTTTTGTCTTTGGTGAGACATGATGGGAATGTGTATATGTAGGATATCATGAGGTATAGATGACTTCCAATGACGAGAGGTTCATGGGCTATGTTTGCTTTTGTAGGTGATATGCCTGGCGGTGAATGGCAGGACCTGCAACTCTACAAAAGAGATAGAAGGTATCCCAGAATGAGTGTTAGGTCCTAATGGCAGACTTAATATGACCTTGAAGATTAGATTCATGAAATGTCTGTCATGGTTCTTGTTTTAGACTACCGGGTTCTGGTCCATCTCTGGCTACATTTCGGGAACGCAGAACACGTACATGCCTACTTTATATAGGTTACTGTCCTAATGTTGCTCATCTTTTTCTTGCGCCAATTGCAGACCAGAAAGTCGTCCCGGATTGTTGTGGACTTCAACAACCTAGGCAGGAGTCGATAATGCGCTGATGCAGATTGCCCGAAATGGTGAACGGCCTCACTTAGCCTCTTGCCTCTCAAGTCACGCGGCATCAAGTCACGCGGCATCATCCGCGTCTGCTTGTTCTGCACGGAATACTACAAAGGGGGCATGCACAGGTTTGGTGACTGTGGTGCAGCATGAGCTTTGTTTGCGCGGTGACTGCGGCCCCTTTGTAGGGTCCATTCCTAGGGGACTTGCGGTTGGTTAGTTGGTTACTGACATTGCCCGACTGAACAATTACTTGGATATGATTGGTGATAGATGTTACCCTTGCTATATAGGCCTTGAAACTTCCTCAATGTAGGGCTTAAGAGACAGCCCAAAACCCTCCTTGCTCTTGACTCTCTGACAACCTCTGCGTCCAGTCGTAGCTGTTTCATTTGTGATACGAAGGAACCATCCTGTGGCTAGGAGAGACCGAAAGACTGACGGCGCGTTTCTGACGAAAGAAAACCATAGCTATAGAAGTCATTGAGAGGTATTTAAAGCGTGATTTCGATTATCTTTACGCAGGGCCAATGATCGCGGTCTCGGCACAGAATCATGTACTCGTTTGCGCTGGCAACTTTGGGGTCTGAGAGGCAAGCCTAATGCTGCCCGAACGAGAAGTATACGTGGGTAACTAATATTTGCGCGTAAACGTGGACAACCGTCGTGGTCGTCTGTCTCTCCTGGTTGCTTACTCGGACGCGGATGTACCACAGCAGATGTCAGTAGTTTTCATCGATTCAAATCCATGATTTACATAGCTTGGCGGCCAGTCCGAAATGGAACTTTGATCACAAGATCGTATAAGCTGTTGATTAATTGTTTTAGAAGAAGAACGCTATGTATGCCATTTATTGCCAGAGAACTTGAAAAACCGGTATCTAAATCTTTTTGCTTATATCGGGAGACTTGCTGTGACGTCTTCCTTGGGGTTGGCTGCGGATCTGAACAGATATACGTTTGGTTCGATGCATGAAGATCTCTGTACCTTAATAATCAAGCTCTGTTATAAGCATGAAGGAATGTACTGATCTGGCCTCCGCAGGCTTGGCAGCTATACACAGAAAGAAGCTAGGACGTGGATGTCCAGGATGAATGAGGTTAAGTTTCCAATCGATCTCTTTCTATTATTCACTGTCCGCGCTATTATATTCGTCCTGAATATCAGGATGAGAGTGATCAAAACACTGGGTGCTCGCTTTAAGGTAATGAGGATGGTTTGAGTCTTAGGATATTCTCCCACATCCTCTCGACTATGAATCAATATATGCCACCGTTGGATGCGAAAATTGCATTTGGTTGTTTGTAAAAACAGGTTGTTGATGTTTGGCTGATATGTAGGCCTTTTCGCATGCTAGAAGCTGATATAAGCCTGTAGAGAGACGTGTTCTTTCCGTTTCTGACGACTGAGAAATGCGAAGCTTGTTTCATTTTTGCATTGAGAGGTGAAGTATCTGACCTTCCGACTTGGTCGCTATGTGCTTCCCCCACGATGAGATCTGGATTACCGTCGTACCTCCGAAGGATTAGTCCAGAATATCACACAATCAATAGATAGCAATGAATGTGTACAACGATTACCATATACCATATGCTCCAGAAAGCTAAAAGCAAAACATCATGTATTTGACTGCAAAATCTGCCCTTGTGGGTGAATCATTTTGCCGTTCCCTGAAAACGATCAAGCCAACAAATACATTGCTTGGTTGGGCTTTACACCATTGTCCTGTTCGTGTTAAATAGTGCTCCCCGGCTTAGAGAAAACCATATGAAGGACTTGAATACGTATTTTCGCTTCTTCCTTGGAATTGGCTGTAGTGCCTATGGGTATAAATATTTGATATATGACAGTAGCTATTTCTACTCTATAACAACAAATTCATCGATAAAGACGAGATCGGCGTCTAAAGATTTGCTCGGCTGGGTCTAGAACCAGAAGCCAAAATGCCCACGGAGAAAGGGTGGCCAACGTCAAGCCTTTGTAGTTCGTTCCGCTGTTATCCAGCCTTGTCACTGTGGTTTTCATTAGGGTCGGTCTACGAGTGGTTCTGTCCAAGAAAACAACCTGCCCTGGCCGTCGCAACCAGCCGGTCGCGATGGGATCATCCGGGACGTGACGTATCAATTGCTCACAAGACCAACGGCCAATTTAGTCCCTAGCATTCCTGACAGCATTGCTGGCAGCACTTAAGATGAGTTCCTGCAGTATCGTCAATACGGACCCTTCCGCTTGCTAGAGGTTAGTATAAAAAGATGACGAGGCGTCAATTACTTAGCTTCATCAATAACGAGGTCGCCAGTTTTTTTATCTCAATCTTGAGAAACTAAGGATATCCTTGACGAGTCTTGAAGCGTCCACTTAGAAGGGCATGATTCAGCGTGAATCTCTGGGTTGTTAAAGACGAATATGAGCACGTATAATAATAGACTGCTGAGAATGATGGACGATGATCTTGACATCCAACGCACACACTAGGAGAGAAAGTCTGAGGACAATGGATTCTCGAAACGGGGCTTATGACATGTAAAACGTTGGTATCTCTCGCTAGTGGTCTCCAGTAGAGATTGTCACACCATTTCTGTTGGCTTGCAGCCACCGTATCATGCAGTCCTCACTGAATATATATACCGAATTTTGTAGGCAAACACAAGTCTTACGAGTCCACGCGAAGCACGTCCAAGAGGTCATAGATTCGTATATATAGACCAAAGATATGTACGTTGTTTTGATTACAGAATTAAGAAATGGCACCAACGAAACGTTCCTCGTCAACCAGAAATATGTAATGCGACCAGGAGATGTACCGCCACTCACGACCCAGCCCCTATTATTCAGTAGTCAGAGTCAGAGCCCTCAGAACTGGACTGAAAACCACTGAATTCGGCGTCGTCTTCATCCTCGTCCTCGGATTCGGCCTCATATCTCACCCGCGACTTAAAACGGTCGATGTCTCGTTGGTGATGATCAAACTCTGCAAACAGCTGCCGGCTCCCCCCCGAAAAGCCATCATCACCATCGCTGAGCTCTATCACCTCCCGCGGTTGTGAGGATGAAGGGCGTTCCGCCTCCGAGCTGTCGGCTTCCTCGGTGGCTTCGGGGGAGGTTTCCGAATTCTCATCGGGCGACACATCGCCGCCCTCGTCTTCCTCTTCTTCATCGTCTGCCTCGTACTCATCGTCTTCCTCACTATTGCCCTCCTCGGTGGTATCCGGCTGCTCGCTCTCAGCCTCTTGCTTCACTAACCATGTTGTCAGCGTTCCCCGGCCTTTCTCAGCGCGTCTTCCCACATACCACACCGCGCTTCATATTCAGCTTTGTGAGCCCTGTTGGCGCGCAAACTGGCGTCAAGCTCCAAGTCTTTGCCGTTGTCGATGCCGAGGACATGCGGGTGCCATTCCTTTCCGGTGTCCTCATGGAGACAGCCTACTGTGACCAGTCTTCCTTTAGCCTCGTGAACCTCAGCCCAGTCACAAGTCATTATGATGTTCGGGACGGGTCCGAGAGCCTCTCGCGGAGTCCTTTTATGGCCACCTGCTGCCAGCACGTCTTTGACCCAGTCATTGGGCGTGAGGCAATCGTCGTTGGCGAAGTAATATAGCTTTGCATTCTTCAGAGCCACAATCAGCAGGTCCTTTCGAAAACCTTCGACTTCGCCAGCGATGCGTTTCGAGACTCTATCACGACAGTCTTGCACAAGCCGTGCCAACGTGTAATCCAGGCCGTAGTCCAGGAACTTCTGGTATGGGTCCTGGAATTGGTTGGCGCGTTCGTAGTTCTCCCGGAGACACTCCACGATGCGCCGAAAGTCCCACGCTTCATCGGGGCTCTGATTCTCAATACTCCACAATGCGACTTTCTTGAAGTAGTCGCTCCAGGGGCTAGCAGGCTGGGACGGACGGAGGGTTCCGCGGAGGCCGATCATTCTCGTCAACCACTGCTCCTTGATCGCATGCTCCTCGTTGAAGGCTTCGTACAAGGCCGTGAGAGGGATCGCCTGAGGGCAGTCATAACGGTCATGGTATTCCGCATCGCCGCAGATGTGTGGGTCGTTGTTGCCGCCATAACGCCACGGCGACTCGCGGGAGAACCAGTTACTGCTGGGAAGATAGCAGCCGAGCAAGTTTCCGGCATCGATGTTACGAAGACGGCGGATGAAGACTGGGTAGCTCGCCTCCTGATTAACAGGAAGTATCAGCTCGTCAAACTTGATCTTGATATCAGAGGCCTCCTTGGGGTGACCGCCTGTTTCAAGACATTGCTGTGTCCGGCGGCAGAGGGCTTGGATGGTGAGCCGGGTGTCAGGGTTAGTTGTGTTGGCCTGGAGCCTGCGAAGCTCCTTATTAATCTGGACCAAAAGGCCAAAGGCGTTCTCCTGCTTGGAGGCTTCCATCGTGGAATGCGGGATGGGGGAGTGTAGGATGTTGTAAGGGGGCAGGAAATGTGAAGTGGGAGAGTGGAGTGCGAAGCGTGAACGATCGCGGTACTTTGCCTGCAGTGAATGTCAAGTCAAGTCTTGAAGTAGATACTGGAAGAGCTTAGCTTGAGGGAAACTGTGAAGGCAAGATGTTGACGATGAGTAAAAGAAATTCAAATGGAAACGCAGAAGAAGGGAAGTCAAGTATGTGTATGCTATGCTGTATCTTTCTCCAAAACTGTTTGTTTCGGAGAAAACTGAGCATTTATAGATAGACAGAAACCATACACAATGCTTAATTTGGTTTACCTCTGTGGTGATGCTGGTCAAGTGCCTCTCACGGTGCTCAGGTATGTCACCACCTTTTGTCTCATTGTCCTTCAACAAGTTCGATCAAGACCAAGTGGTCTAGTCAGTGATAGACACAGCTAAACGAATTATCCTCTGTGGATGCTCTGGTTCGTCTGAGGAGGGGCGCTCGTTTAAATCCAAACAGTGCCTTAGACAGAATTTGTGTTGTTTGTTTTTCTCCCATTCCCTCTTCTGATGAAGATGACCTTGTGGGCCAGTCAGGAAGACTCGGGATCCTATCTGTAACCTTGCCGTCTGCTTGGAGCTACGGAATCTGCGAGCAGTCTTCAAGGGTGACTTCGCAAGGGTGATTGTACATCCATCGGCTCTGGACGATTTGGTCCATTGCTCTTCCTGGATGCAAAACCTCACTGGGGTTTTCGGGTCTCACTCAACCCGAGATTTTGTGTATCGTTTTCATTAAGGATTAAGGAGACGTCAAGGGAGCAGTAACTGACTAAATATGGGACATATTTTCCTAGTACTGCCCACGGAACTGGTTGTTTCCTCGACCTTGATTCCGAATAAAACTTTGTGTCCCAAACGCCATTGATGGAGCACCCTTTAGTTTCGGAAAGCCTGCACCAGTTCGTGCAGTTTATCAATGACTACGGGTGCGATGGCGCCTAGGGTGTCCTCGATGACCCTTTCGAAATAACGCATAGACTCGTCCTCGGTAAGCTCCAGATGAAATCTCTCCCTAACCTTCAGCACGGCTTTGTCCGGCTCGAGCCTAATATCCGGGATATTCGCGTCAACCATGAGACTGAATAAATTCAAAATCAGGTTGGAAGACTTTCGGAGCGCGCTGTATGCCATGAAACAATAAGACTTGAACTGCTTGAACTGGGGCGAGTTGACGCCACCCATGCAGTCTACCATCTCCTTCGACAGTTTCATGACCGGCGCGAACGGTTTGGGGTCTCGTCCGAGGATGAAGCCGAAGTCAGCATGGAAGAAGTGCCCGTCTGGCGCAAGGAGGAGGTTGTCCAAATGTCTGTCACCAACACCCAAGATGTAGGTAATGACGCAGTATCCAGCACATGACTTGACGTATGTATCCAAGGTCTCCTGGCGTAGGCCAAGCGGTTGTCGGTCGTCTGGGTTGTTCGCCCTCAAGTAGGTCAGGGCAGGGTTGTTCTTATACTTTGACGCAATACTTTGCAAGCTGGTGGAAGGCACGAACTGGGAAGCACCAGCAGTTGTGCTGGTCGCCAAAATCTTGTATGGTGACAGCTTCAAATCCAAGTTCTCCTTTTGCAGCAGCTGGTCCATAAGAGTGATGATCTGGATGACCAGCTGATCTTGTCGCAGATCGTCGCCCGTTTTGAAGATGATTGGATATTTCTTGCCCGTAGTCGTTTTGAAGGTAACCTTGATGGGACACAGCGATGACTTGAAGACTATTGTCTCTTCCGGCACGACACCCACGACCTTCATGGTAGGGTCGAGTGGAAGCGGTAGAGGCGGATCAATGACAATGACCTCGTTCTTGGGATCGGCCAACCAGCTCTTGGCATGATCCGTCTTCTTTGCGACAGACTCGTGGGACATTTTGATTTCGTTGGAGATTTTGGATAGGTTCGCAATCAATTCGGCCTGCCTGAGGAGGGTCTTTCGGGTTTCCACCCCGTCAGGACGCTTCACCAGCTCCGTCATGAAGTCGTAGGCAACTTTCCGGTAGATGTTTCGGTTGTCAAGTCCTTGCTCGGCACTGTGATCATCGCACTCGACCATTACGTACCAGTGGAAGTAATTGCCGAGAAGGAAGTTGTCAGCCGCGCGCGATATCAAGAATTGCGCAAGAGAAGAGTCTTGGATGGTTTCCTGGGACGAATCAGACGGAATGTGTTCATACTTCAAAGCTTGCACAAGCTGCAATAAGTAGAGGAGCAACTCGTGGTCATCAGCTTTTCGTAGCCTGTCTACAGCGTAGGCTCGAACAGCTTGGTTGTCAAAAGTAGGGCCAAGCAGCTCGAGCGCGTCATCGACTTCAATTTGTGTCCACCGTCTCAGAACTTGCACCGCCTGCTTGGCTTCACTGTGATCTTGCCAGTTGACGGATTTCACAAACTTTGTGACTGCCCGCTTGTCACGGGTGAGATGGTAGCGGAACTTCCAGATCAGGTCCTTCTCTTCGGGTGTCAAGATATGGGTCGGAGAGTATGACATGATGAGGTTCAGCTCGTCGCGAACCTTGGCGTTCGGCTTGAGGTCCTTATCCAAGATGCCGTGACGATGCTGGCTTCTGACAAGTCTCCTGTGCTTGCTCTCGGCCGGATTGTCACGGGCCCCAACCTCGGGATCATACACCTTCATCAGGCGACTGCCGGGACCCGAGTCGCCGAGTGCGTTGATGCCAGGACCAAACTGTACTTCTGGTGGTGGCTTTAACATGACGTTTGACTGAGACGCCGACATGTGTTGCAACGCCGAGATTGGTGGAGGTGGGTACTCCAAGTCGGCAAACACTACTGGGAAATCGAACCGTGGCAGCTCAACGTTGAGTTGGAACTTGGAGAAGCCTGCATGAGTCTCTGTGTCAACAGCGTTGTTCTCGTCTGCAACTCTGTTCTTTTCGTTGACTGCATCGCCGTTTTTTGTCTGTTGCCGTTGCATGGCTTTGAGTGATTGTTTCGCTGACTGAAGACCTCGCTTCTCAAAACCGCGGAAGACTAGCTGGTCAAGCCAATCGACTCTAGGGATTTCCCCCATCTCGTGTTTCTTAAAAAGTTTCTCCATGCGCTCCAGCTCCTCTGCATCTTTGTCCACTGGTGGCGCAGACCCTTTCCTCGATGTGTCCCTCTTCTTACGGGGAACCGCAGGTGTGGTGGTGTTGTCGTTGCCGTCAGCGTTCTTGTGTCGATGTACCATGCATTTCTGCCGGCCCTTTTGCACTTGGTTATCTCGGTCGAATAGTGGTAGCGTGGTTCCTCCGAAGGGTATCGCGTGGCCCACGGCCTGTTTTCCACCAGCAGGCGAAGAGTCCCATAACGTGATGGCCAAGCAGGAGTTCAAGGGGAGCGTGGAGTAGTCGATTGGGAGCGTCAGCCATTCGTTCCACCTGCAACAGGCGGCCATTAGCGACAATCCTGACAGGAAAAGAGAGCTGCCATACCTCCTTTCGTTTCGGAACGATTTATATGCTGTCTGAACTGGCACAGTTAAGGGTTTGGAACCGGCCCACACTTGGACTGTGACGTAGAGATCGGAATGGGAGCTGGGAGGTCAGTACGAGCAACCGCTTATGGAGCCTGGGCGAGGTACCTCGTGTTGGAGCCGATATGCCTTAGCTCGGCTTTCTCTAAGAGTGTAGAATGTAGAAATGGGGTTTCATCGCCCTCCAGATTGATTCTATAGCCAGGGAGTCAGCGCGCGCATCGCACGGTGGAAGTGCCAGAGAAGGGAGTCGTACATGCGGATGCTCACTGGATAGTCCAGAGACTCGGAGCTTGCGAACGAGAACGGGTCCATCTTGGCACAAGGAGCTCACTGAAGTTCATGAGGCCATTCTGTGAGGTCGATACAAAAGTTTATAATCGCGGTAGCTTTCGGTCATCGGTCAGGGAAAATATGCGATCGGGGAGGCTGGAGTTGCGTCGCGCAGAATGATGTTGAATGCGCACTTGGGTTCCCGGTGCTGGATGGTGCCGATAGCACGGACACGAGCTAGGCTCAAAGGCAGGTGACAGTACCGCGAGCGCAGTCAGTGAGACGGGCAGTCACTCACCTCACAGCTTCAGTGGAGCCCCAATGGTCGCTGCCACCAAGGTTGCACCGATGTACCTGCCTTCAGCTCGTTGACCCCGCCCAAGCCACCCGTCATGTTATCGATAAGAGCAACACAAGCCACGACTTCCCCCACGCATGCTAGAGGGAGAGATAAGATAAGCTTAGCTGAGCGCGTTGAGTGGGAAGGAGGCCCGGAAAGTGTGCTTGTCGCGTCTTCCCGGTCACAATTTCACGCGCGACCTCCCACTTCATCTTTAAACGGGCGTTTTATCGCAACTCCGTCTGATCATCGCCTGTTGAGATACCGCCGCCGCGCTCTCTTGTCACACCCTATCTTGTGTTATCGAGGTGCACTACCGACCGACCTTCCTCTTTCGACCCCATCACGCATTCAAAGGCCGCCGACGCTCACCCCTCCACTGCTCAAAAATGCCTGCAAGAGTGGACGGCTCCACGCCGCCCTCCTCGCCAGGTTCACCAAGCGAAGATGATGCACCAGGACCCGCGAGAGGTCATCTCGCCATCCGAGACAAAGGAAAGGGTCGCGATGTATCCATTGGGAAGCGGAAGCGCGCAGACACGAACGGAGAACAGTCTTCACGCCGCCGCGCAAACGGCCGCTCCGGCGACAGGGACGATGAAGATGGCGACGATGTTTACGACCCCGACCAACCCATGGAGGAACGTCGAGAGATCCAGCGTCGGCTGCGTGAGCTGCAGAAAGGTATCAACGAGAATATGGAGGAGTACATGATGCCAGGTTCAAAAGGTCTCAAGGAGACTTTGATGATGGCGCAAGAAGTTGCCCGGAATGTCAAGCAGACAACAGAAGCCACAATCGACTCCCGCCTACTTGTTAGCGCAGTCGACATGTCATACCGCAAGACTGTGCG